TGGCTTAGAATAACAGTAGTTTAATCTCAGGGATCTGCAGGTTGGTGGTAGCTCTGCTTTAGGCTGTGATAGCTGGGGGTCCACTAAGCTAGGCTGGGCTGGCTTGAGAGGGTCTCCTGTAAGCTGCACCATGTGTAGACTTGGTTCCTTGCTCAGGTACTTTTCATGTGAGTTAATTCTGAGGCTCAGCTCCAAGGGGCAGTAGCTATCTGGGGGAGCTCTTTGGGTAGCAATGGCAGCGATATAGGAGGACAAATACACTTCATACCCCTGTCTGTGTCAGTCTGCTACCATCCCATCGTCCAAAGCAAGTCACCTGGTTGAGCCCAAGGTCAAGGGGCAGGACTGCAAAGTCATGTGGCAAACAGCATGGATATGCAGTGGTGGTGGTGGTGGTGAAGAATGGATGCTAATAATTCAGTCTACCACAGCTGCCCGCACAGTATGCTTGTAAATTAATGGGTGTATGCGTGCACATGCAATTTATGGAGTTACTATTATTAAAAACTATAAAAGAATTATATGTACCTTGTAAAAATACAGAGTTGATATGCTGGTGGGAGAGTCAGACAATAAAAAAAAAAAGAAATAAAAACAACTATGTAAAGGGATGTTCCAATTTATTTGATTGACTCTGGACACATTGTAAGTCTCTTGGGACAGATTCAACATCTTTCTATAGTTAAAAAAAGATGTTCCCTTGTCCTTGAAGTTTCTTTAGCTCACAGAATTTGAAATCACGTCTTATTCTTCTAAAGCAGCATTCGGTGCAACGTCGGGAGCTTGATGTCAGCTTTCTCACTGTTTAGGATAGTTAAAAAAGATGGGAAACCCACGCAAGTGAAGATGTTAGTTATGTTAGGGTGCTGTGAATATGGATGGTAGCGTTCTTCCTTTATATTTTCTCAGTGCAGCTCTCCTAGGCCTGAGCATCTGATGAAGAACCAAAATCATAGCAAAATAGTCTTAGGCACTGTAGCACTCTCTCTTTCCACATCCAGTAGATTCTCTGGGATTGCTGGCAACTTCTAGAATAGTTAACCTTAGTGGCCTTGAGTTTCCTGATCTTGGCTGTCCCTGGTTCTGCTCTTTTACTCTGCCACCTTGTGGATTTTTGGGAAATTGCATCTTCTGCTGTGAGCCCTACTGGCTCACCTAATTGATCTGGCCTCTGCCTTTCCTGGGAAGGGAGGGACATCACAACAAGGTGACTTTGCTTTTTCAGTTTTTCCATAGAACTCCCTTTCCCCTTTAGAACAATGTCCTCAGGGGCCTGGCTGATGGTCATTTGAATGGCCCTGCCAGTATCACACCTGAAAGGCCCGCTCCACTAGAGACCTTGAGCCAGCATCCCAGGGTGGGATGCAGGCCCCTGACTTCCTCCAGTACCGCCTCTCCAGTTCACGAGAGGCCCCTCCTTTTTTCAAATTAGGAAAGTAATTGAATCTTACTTAGAGCTTACCAGTCCAGTCAAGGAGACAGATTAAACACTATATACAAATAAAGACAATATTTACACATTGTGGTGAGTGCAATGAGATAGTAATGGTGGTGGGGGTAGGGAACTTGTATTAAGTAGGCTGGTAAAGGCAGGCTTGCCTGAGCAAGAGACATTTCAAATGGAAATCTGAAGGATGGGAAGGACCCAGTCATTAAAAGAGGGAGGAAGAGAATGTGCAAAGGTCCTGAGGTGGAAAAGAACTCGTTAGGTTGAAAGTAACTAAGTGTGACTAGATTGGCGTGAGCTGGAGGGGAGTGATCCGAGTGGGGGTGGGAAAGGGAACAGGCACAGGTAATACAGGTTCTTTTTTTTCAAAAAAAATTTTTAATTTATTGGGGTGACATTGGTTTGGAAACCATACAGGTTTCAGGTGCACAACTCAGCAAAACATCATCTGCACACAGCATCTTGTGCCCATCGCCCAAAGCCAGGTCTCTTTCAATCCAGGGTCTTGTGAGGCACAGTGGGGATTCTGATTTTGTGAGAAAATAAAGAAGGATTCTTTTCTATCTCTTCAAAATAGTCTTTATTCAACAACTGTAAGTAAATGTAATATACAAAGGAGATTGACTAGTAAACCTCATGCTGATAAATAAGGCATTTCAAACTTGAGCAAAAAACAAACATCTCTTGTACATTTGACTACACTTGGTTACCGTTGCCTTCGTTACGTTTACTCACAAAATTAGTACAACACTGCCTCCTTATTGGCAGTTTTGCTTTCTGAAGTTAGTTACCTGTGGCCAATAGTGGTCCAAATATATTAACTGGAAAATTCCAAAATGAACCAATTCATAACTTTTCTTATTTTTTAAACATGTAAGATTTATTTTTCTCATAAAAGTTTTTATTTTTCAATTATAGTTTGCATTTAACATTGTTTTGTGTTAGTTTCAGGAGTATAGCACAGCAGATAGACATTCCCATAGGTTACAGAGTGAAGAATTATTCAGCAGAGAAGTGATGAGGTCCAATTTATATTTTATATTTCTACTTTAAGAAGATCCTCATTGCTGTTGCATGGGGAATGGACTGAAATGAACAGGAAGGGAAGCTAGGAGAGCATTTGGGAGCTTGGTGCAGGAAGCTGGGTGAGAGGTAACAGTAGCCTAAACGTGGGTGTTGGCAATAGAGATGGAAGGGTCTAGCCCAGCCAGTGTGGCTCAGTGGTTGAGTGTCCACCTATGAAACAGGAGGTCAAGATTTGATTCCCGGTCAGGGTGTGCTTGATCCCCAGTAGGGGGTGCACCGCAGGAGGCAGCCGACCAATGATTTTCTCTCATCATTGATGTTTCTATCTCTCTCTCCCTCTCCCTTCCTCTCTGAAATCAATAAAAATATTTTTAAAAAAAAGATGGAAGGGTCTAAACCAGCAGTTCTCAACCTGTGGGTCATGACCCCTTTGGGGATCGAACAACCCTTTCACAGGGGTCGCCTAAGACCATCGGAAAACACATATATAATTGCATATTGTTTTTGTGACTGATCACTATGCTTTAATTATATTCAATTTGTGACAATGAAATTGCGGGTCACCACAACATGAGGAACTGTATTAAAGGGTCGCAGCATTAGGAAGGTGGAGAACCACTGGTCTAGAACCACGCTGGTCAGTGTGGTAGCAATGAGCCACATGTGGCGACTGAGCATGTGAAATATGTAAGTGTAGGAAACATACCAGATTATGAAGACGTGGTACAAAAAAAAAGTAAAATATCTCATTTATAATTTGTTGATCTTAATTACATGTTGAAATAAGAATATTTTGGATATTTCATGTGAAATAAAATACAATAGAAAAAGTTTCATGTGTTATTTTACTTAAAAAAATGGCTACTAGAAAAATGTGAACTACACATGTGGCTTACATCTGTGGATCACATTATGTTTTTATTGGACAGCATTGATATAAACAAAAGTTACTGAATGAAAAAAACACTTTATAGTAAAATTACATTGGACACTAGAAATTTCTAGTTAGGTCTAAGTTGTTTTTTCTGGTTCACAAAAGATGATGTTTATTTGATAAGACAATACAGTTAGTGTTTGATATAATCACCAGAAGCAAAAGAAATAAACAACTTGACAATGTACATTAAAAAACCAAGATGTTTAATGTGACAAATATGTTTCTAAAATAAATCCTCTAAAATTCCTCAGTTATTGAAAACTGTATAAACACAGAAAAATGTTAATAGCGACAGAATACATAAAACCAAACATCTAATTTTGGGCAAATTAACATACAACTTTGCTACCAATGTATGATTTTCTTTTTTCTTGCTTACAAGCTCTTCAGACTATCTTTATACCAACAGAGAAGGCAGAACATTTAGGTTTCATATCAGTTACACAGCATTAGCATAAACTCAGACAATACTGAGAGAGCTGTTTTCTTTGGAGCTGGCAAAGTAACCACTAAAACATCAGATCATTGCTGTGAATTGAGAATTTTATCCCAAATAAATGTCACATACTGTCCAGACATAGTTTTGTAATACATTTAATAATTCTTTTATGTGATATTGGTAGGCAATTTATTTTTAAAAAAATGTTTTATTGATTTTTAGAGAGAGAGAGGAAGGGAAAGGGATAGAGAGATAGAAACATTGATGAAAGAGAAACATCATCGATTGGCTGCCTTCTGCAACCCTCCCAAGGATTGAGCCCATAACCCTGGCATGTGCCCTAACCAGGAATCAAACCAGTGACCTCTTGGTTCAGAGATTGATGCTCAACCACTGAGCCACACCGGCTGGGCGGTAGGCAATTTAAATTTAAAAGGACTTTAGCTAATTGAGATGTTATTGTCTTTGAAAAATTAAATGGCATGGCATATGGCTACTTACAGTCTTATGGCAGAATACTGCACGAGGCTTTAAAGACAGAGAACTTGCCTCTATTTCAGCATCCATAATGTGTGCACTTGGATATGATTTC